GGGGGGGTATCTAGCCAGACTAGATCAGATCTAAATTTACTGACAAAATTTAAAAAATATGACACTAAAACATTATATAAATAAGTGTCACGAATGTTATTTTACAAAGAAGATCTTTAATAGCAAGAAATAATCTTTATTTGCAATAGATAAGTAGACATTCATGAAACGTAAGTGGATAAGCCATTGTTTACTTCGGGCCGCAACGATCTTCCCGACTGGAGGAAAATGAGGCAATCCCCGTTTTAGTCAGGTTGGTTCGCGCGGCATTTACCATAGTTCGCAACAACGCATGGTAATGAAACTTGGCATGTGCATGCATAGATAAATGGCTAAAGAAGACGTATTTTCAAGAACAAAAATGACAAATCAAATAAAAAATAAAAAATGCACGGTAGAAACTTACCTTGAACTTCAACTCGATGCTGCTCACGAACCCGACGTCTGACAGTCACACAAAGCACACGACTGAACTCCGCGCCCTATTCTGAATAAATTAATACCGGATATGACGCAAAACAGCCCGGATGAGCGGCCCCGTGACCCTTCAAAATAGGGTACTTCTTCCCGACTGGCCGAACGAACACCCCGAGCCTGTGATGCGCTGCCGGGGAAGCCCGAACGCGGCCGAGCCGCCGATATGCGACTACCTACATTGTACTAGGTAGCGTAAACACGGCCTTGTGGGCACTCGCGGCCTTCCGACCGCATGATATCGGTGAAATCGGGGTAATTCCGATCGCTGTTTCTTTGCTCTTTCGCTATAAAACACCAAGTGCCGTACACCTTGTAAAAGTTCAGCTTTTCCTCGTTACAATGGTGTAAGTTGTTTTTATGTCCGATTAGTAGGAGTTTGAGAATCGCAGACGAAAGCGAAGCCCCTCGCAGTCGGAATGCGTGGTCGGCCGGTTAAAAAATTGACACGGGTGCATTCAAATGCTTCGCGGAACGAGGAATGATTAAATAGCGTCTTTTCATTGGCGGAGAACTGTAGAGCTTTACACGGGCTTTCCCGTGGTATGTGTTTTGCCTTTGGCGTCTAAATAGAAAGCTTTTAAAAATACAGTCGAACCTGCCCTGACGGTCACCTCTATAAGACGGCCACCTGTACAAACGGCCACTTTCAATTTCCCCCCTTGCGTTTTTTCTATATAATTTAACTGTAAAACTGCACCTGTCCAACGTGGCCGCGGCCACCATATTTCAGACTCCATTGCGCTTTGTCGTAAATCAAGCATTGGCCCCTGGCTTTGTGGGCGAGCCGTCATAATCTAAAAACCTGTCGTGTTAGGTTGTCCCTCCAACTGATCATGTTGCGTAGGCCCTCCCACTGTTGACCAATAGGTAACAAATTAATTTTCAGCTGCTGGGGAGGGAAGCTTGTGATCCCTCATAACCCATAAGCCCCGCTCAGAATCCGTAAACAAATTGTAAGTGAGATGAGTGGTCACTGTTTACCCAGTCCAGGGCTGCCTAAATCTACCGATTTTTCCGGTAGATACCGATTTTGGGCCTGTTCTAGCGACATACCGATAAGGTGTCAAAACTACCGGATTTACAATGGGTGCCGAAAGAAGAAAAAGAAAAAAACCCCGTTCTGCAGTGCTTCCAATCTTCTTTGTTTTCGTGTCAATCCGTACATTCCAAAAGTTCCGTGCTTGCCGCATCATCATATCAACCCCATGCGTTAGAGAGAGAGAGAGAGAGAGAGATCAGCACTTGCCTCCGTAACTTGTCAGAATTTACGGCAACTCTCAGCTATAAGTTGTATTAGAAACTGACAGATCGCGCATTTCATACACTCGACCATTGTCTATCTGTGCCGTTCGGTCGGCAATAGTTTTTCACGTGCATATCGGCTAAAATCTGTCTACTCACGATAGATTATCTTCCTCCTTCCTTTCATCCATTCATTCTTTCTGTCTATCTTCGGATTTTTGCTGCGGCTGGAATATCTGTCCGTTTAATTCAAAACCAAATCTGAAAAGGCTAATTATTGATTAGTCATGGCCTATATAAAATTCATGCCCAAGACTGCATCTGACTTTAAAGTTTTGAAAGAATGCCAATTTTTCATTGTCTCTCTTTAAGTTGATTGGTTTGAATTTAATGTTTTTTGTCTGTACCATGGTAGAAACTAAGAATCCAGTCCATACCGGATCATACCGTCTGCCTAAATTTTCTTTTTCTGTATTTTATACGTTGGCTTGACAGTTGTTGTTTTTTTATGATGCATAATATTTCACCTTATTTCTTTCTGCAGTGGACGAAGGTCCAGGCCATGGTCCCAGCAAGAGGCCCGAGTACAGGGGAGTTGTCCATGCTCTGAGGTCAATTGTCAAGTCAGACGGCTGGAGGGGACTGTATCGTGGAGTGACCCCCAATGTCACAGGAGCAGGCTTATCATGGGGACTTTACTTTTTCTTGTAGGTCAAGTAATGGAAAACAATATAAATGATAATAACTAAATATAATAATTTTAAAAATACAGATAGTTTTTAATGAGTCTACCCCTGTATGCACCCAGCTCTAGGTACTTGATATTTTAATCTAAGTACAAAGAATGATAAAAAAAGTTTTAAAATTGACCTGGAACTGACAGTATTCGCTTAATATTATATGAATAAAGAAATGACACACACACAAACACACAGATATATACACACGTGTGCTTACACGCAGGCACTAATTCATACTCTTATTCATGCACGCACACACACACACACAGAGTTATTTTCAGTACTGTCACAGACATAGTATTAAGTCGAAGTTCAATCTAATTGCAATCCATGCTTGACTTGTGGTCATTTATATCTGGCTAGCGATTTTGTCATCTAATTGTACAGCTCGTATTACTGACCTGTTTGCTTGACAGTTTCCACACTTTGTACATATTTCTTTTTAGAATTTTTAAATGTAGGTTAGTTTTTTTTTTGACGCCCCTGTCAATGCAATTTAGATAATTTAGGAGGCAAGATTCCAATCCTGCCTATTAGGGCCAACCGGGGCTGAGAGGGATGCATCATCCCAGCAGAAAGTTTGAGATACTCGATGAAAATACTCTCTCCAGCCGAGAATTGAGCTCAAGACTTCTGCCTGTTATAGTGAAGTGCCTCACCGCAACTCCACACGCAAGTCACATAATGTGGACATTCTAAGGGAACAGTTGGATTGATGAGTTGGCCTGAAAGTTGCAACATGTAATGCAGACAAGTTGTGTTCCACTGACTCTACAACACACAACACCCTGACTTGACAGTTTTTACACATAACACTGGCATGCAGGCCTTAAGTTACAACTCATAGTCTTAGCATGTTGGCCGTTTAAAGTTACAACACATAATATTAGCATGTTGGCCTTAACTCTTTATCTCCGGCAAGCTGCTTCCAGCCGGGCACGTTCCTTTACGACAACTTCAACATCAGATTAATTTTGGGCAACTGCCGAAAACAGTTCTCTTTTATCGAGATTTCATTCATTAAATGAAGAACTATAATAAAATAGATTAGTGACGATTTTGTCATTTTGAGATTTAGTACCAAAAATGAGCCCTGGCATAGTGGGTTTACCCCCCGCGTCGATAAAGAGTTAAGTTACGACACATAATTTTGGTATGTTGGTCTTAAGTTACAACACATAATTTTAGCATGTTGGCCTTAAGTTACAACAGGTAACACTGGCTTGTTGACCTTAGGTTACAACACATTTTTCATGCTCTGGCATGCTGACCTAGTCTTAAGGGAAGGTGGCAGTTAATGTTTCTAACTTTGTTATTAACACATCCCAGCATCATTCAGACTGATTATAAAACACTTTAGGAGTTCAGACTGAAAATCAAATAACAAAATTTATTCTTTCTTTAAGGAACTTGAAAATATTTCATGTTTTGTGGGTACAGAAGCAATTTTGACTCAATCCGACCCACGCTCTCGCTCAATCAGTTTATTGACTAAAGTGCTTATATTTTCACATAAGCACACTAACAATAAAATCTGTGATCCTGGGTGGGCTTTTTTTTTATACTTGAAACCTCTAAAGAGATATTGAGGATAACGTCATAGCTATTTATTGACTCTATTAATTTTTGCATTTTCGCATCAACTGAAGCACTTGAAACTGCATTTTTCTAAATCGGTGAGAGATATAAAAAAAGCCCAACCAGGATCACAGAAAATTCATTTTCATATAGTCAGGCCAAATATAAAAGAAATCCTTCTTTTGAGTTTTAAATGAGATTCCGGGCCGCAACCCATACCCCTGAATTTTTTTCGTTTTGAAAAAACGCACTGATTTTGTCATAACTTTCTAACCGAAACAGATAGGAGCGCATGAATTGAATTGTATAAAAACAATTAATCATTTGTCAATGTACCCAATTCTTTTATATCTAATTTTAAGAAAAAGGTCCCCCCAAAATACAGTTGATAGTGATGCAACAGAGAGGTCAATTTAGCGGTAGTATTGACTGAAAAGAAGAAATTAAGGGAAATTTGTCGAAAACATGCAACTCCAAGTTGCCAAAAGTGGAAAACAGAGCCATAAATTGCAGGAGTTCTTTATTCCTAATCAGTCCCTCTTCCGGGGCAGTAGAGACGTTTGCCAGTCCAATTTTCCTCCTCTAAAAGATGGTTCCTTTCCTGTTTTTCTAAGCCACACCCTCTATTCCAGTCTTTGCCCTCTATATTTGCGTACAGTCCCTTCTGATGCCCCTGTCCGTGGTTTGGCTGAGACCTGTAACTTCAGAAACGGCATAAACGTCTGGGTGCCAAGGGCCCCCAACTTCCAGTCTGCAGTAATGATTGCAAAAGCAGCTTTTACTCTTGGTTTGTTCACAAAGACCGTCTTAGGGCACTCACTGCTTCAACCAGGTGTGAACATACGGAAACTCCCATTCTGTTTTTGTGTCACACCAGGCACATACTTGATCTCCATTAGCTCATCTGTGATGCACAGGCTTCATAAATGAGGGGGTTTGAGGTGGGCAGAAAGCCTTCCCTTGTGTGATGGTGCTGTGCTTCCTTTGCTGCTGCTTCCTTTGCTGTAACGCCTTTTGTAAAAGTAGAGTATAACACAGATAGCTCGAATTAGTTGGAACTGGCCTCATTAGTTCGAGGCATCCGTAGTTCGAGGGATCAGTAGTTCGAAGGATATTTTTAAAAGATAAGGAAGGGGAAAAAAATGGTACCGCAGGCACAGTTCTACGGATGCGTGATTTTGAGTCTTCTGTGTTTGATCTGTCTGTGCTATAATGTAAAAGCTCCAGTTGTTTTCACCAGTAAGTGGGCATCTGTCATGATGTGGGTCTCCATCTGTGCTGGTGCTGTGCAGCAACGTGGCCACCACTGCTTCTCACATTAGCAGTGGAAAGAGTTGAACGACCCCAGAGGTTTTGTGTTATAGGACTGGAGCTAGGCGATCATAAATCAGGCAGCGCAGCCCAAGAACTACACACCTTGCTTGTGGGCTGGCACACCGGCCGCTCAGGCTTCGGCCCACAGCAAGCAGTGACCTTCGTAATGATAATAATGATTACAACGGCCACGGCTAGGTGGTCTCTTTCTCCCTCTCCCCTTCTCTCTCTCTCTCCCTCTCTCCCTCTCAATCTCTCCCTCCTCTCTCTCTCTCTCCCTCTCAATCTATAGATATCTCTCTCTCTCTCTCTCTCTCTCCCCCTCTCCCTCTCAATCTCCCCTCTCTCTCTCTCTCTCTCTCTCTCTCTCTCTCTCTCTCTCTCTCTCTCTCTCTCTCTCCCCTCTCTCTCTCTCTCTCTCTCTCTCTCTCTCTCTCTCTCTCTCTCTCTCTCTCTCTCTCTCAATGGTTTAGCTTCCCTGTGTTTGTGTTCAAACTAATGGACATGTAAAAAATTATTCTAGACAGACAAAAACGATGGAAAGACAGAAAATTGAGTTGAGTTAGAGTTTTACGGAAATGGAGGGCACACACTGGTATGTTGTTTTTTTTTATCTTGACACCTTTTCATAGGATAAAATGTTTGGTAAGCTAGCAATCCATGCCCTACATTCTGTTTCATCCGAAGGAAATCCATACAAGGTCACTTTTTCTGCACCTTTCTGACTGTCATAGCCAGTTTTGCATCCACCAACTGAGCATTTTCTTCCCATTGTTGTTCTTATTCCTTCAGTTTATTTTGAAGGTGTCAGTCACGGTCCAACAGAGTCATAACCACACATGATGAAAGCAATAAATAGGCCTAGAAGAGAAGCATGTAAGCACTGTGAAAGAACAGATATTAATATGCAATGCAGGCCGGGAAAAACACAAAGGAGCTCCCCCATAATTATGATCCGTATACTTTTCCCTACCTAACAAGGGTGGGCCCCTAGACGCTCAGAGTCTAGATATATAGATTTATATCTACATGGTCCTTTTAGCCTATTGTTTGTGTTACAAACTAATCTAAATCTAAAAGTAGATCTAGGGATAGGATGGGGAGTTGGTTTTTATTGGTTGTTTGCATAGAGAGGCTCTAAGTCAGTGAAGACTGTGCGGATAAGGAGGGGGGCCTCCACTGTGTAGACATGGATTTTAGACAGATATGAATTAAACTTGCACGGTCAAAACTTCACTGTAGGTTTAATCTAAACACGTACACTGATGGAAGAGATATTTGATATTCACACAATCCAGATGATTTGAAAAAAGCATTGAGTACTATGGTGATGAAGAATCTGAAAATGAACAGTAGGCCTACAGTGCAGCCAAACAGCACTTCAAATTTGCGATCTCAAAACTGTTGGTCAATCTTAATTAATGAATTAATTAGTCACCACTTCTGTTCCTCAACACACACAATGATGTAGAAAATATTCACATAATCCAGATGACTTGAAAAGCAAACTGCATTAGGCAGAAATAATCCAATGTCAAAGCATGAGCAAACAACAATTCAAACTGACCGCCGCACCCTGCGTAGGCTTATCACTACTAATGATCTACAAGGTTGTGGGCCTACTACACGGGTGTGTCAGCCCACAAGGAATCTAGGTCAGTAGCGCGCAGATGGCCTGATTATATGACCGTCTAGGACTGGAGACATCCAATGTTCTCCTGGTTGAAAAGAATAGAAGAGAAAAAAATATGGAAAAAGCCCATAAGAATAAGGATTTAGGTGTTGTCATTATCCTCTGCAAACAGAAGTTAGTATCCGATTCAAATCAATAGCAAAATTGTAATTGCAGACAACAAAAAAAACCCATTTAACACTCTAAGCAGCAGGGAGTTATTTATACACTCGAACCCTGCAAAATGCCACTCTGTTTTACTAGCCCAGCATTCCAGCAGGTTTTGCCAAAGAACGAAAAGGAATGCCTTTATATAAACATAGGCTACTATTTGCCCCCAACCTGAAATGAAGCCTACTAATGTTAATTTTCCCCACAACCCCTTCACTCTTGGCCACCAGAGGTGCCGCGTACACAGTCAATACAGTGCACACTACACACCAGCGACTCAGCAACTGTGTCATTCCCCCAACCCCCCGAAAAAAACACAAAACAGAATAAGAAGGAATTGGGTGCGATCGCCATGAATTGTGGTGTAAGTGAGTATTCCAAAATATAGTTCAATATAAGACTACATTACAAATAAATGCCGAATGTTACCATTGAACTACTGTAAGATTATAGCACGGTCAATTAAAAATTGCAATTGTAGGGCCTATAGAATCTATATTCATGATCTAACCCAGCGATGAACAGCAGTTTAACACACTTGTAATTTGATATACGTTCAAAACAGAGCACACAAGTTAATAAGACATAATCTTATCTACTTGTGTCTACAGTCCGGAATTGAAGATTTTCAGCTTTTATTTTTAAATTTATTTTTTCCCGCTCCAGTGATAGCTAGATTCTAGATCTAGATGTATAATATACCGGTACGAAAACAATTGAAGGAAAACTGAAAACTTCAAACTGGCTATAGAAATTGGCCAGAATCTATTACTAGATCTAGCCCCAAACTAAGCATAGTCAAGTCATAGAGAAAAGAGAATTATCCACGACCACTGAAGACTGTAAAAGTGAGGGAATGTGGCATTATGTGGTTAAAATTTTGTCTGTTCTTCTTGGTCAGTTGATCAATAAAATATCAAAGCAGGTCAAAGCTCATATTATGGCTTTGCAAGTGGTTCACAAACTCACAGCTTTGCACTGTGACAAGGCTACTTGTTCCGAAAATGCACACACCTCCCTTCCCAAAAAACTTGCTCATACTCTTCATCAGTTCTCCCTGAACTAAAGTAATTCCAACATTCAGCTCATGAATTGAACTGCTGAGTATTGCCAATGCTGTTCGTAAAACAAGCCAGCCCAAGTAGTGTGTCCTAATCCTAATTTTAGTAGGCCATTACTTGACTTGCACTAACTTAGACGTAGGTCAGCAAGCAGCTGATATTATGACTTTCGATCGTATTAGGCTATACAAGTTCAAAATAAAACACCAGTGAATGAAATATACTCTTACCTGCTCAGGATATCAGTTGAAACAGTCAAAGCAGAAGAATTTCAGTTATTCTTCCTCTTTTTCAAGTGACATTCGCTTACGAAAACCCGGATATGTGTTGTGCGCGGGTGACAAAACACGCAGACGTTGCATCCTGGGATTGAAAGCTTTCTGTACGAATGGGAAAAACGTTGGAGCTATAAATAAACCGAAGCGTGTGTCCTTGACTCGACGAAAGTTCAGTTTGACCTCCGCGCTGAATTACTAGTTAGCAGAAGATCTACTAGATTGTTTTGGTAGAAAATCAAAGGATCAACAAAGCAGAAGTTTTCATTACTTCTGAAATTTACCTGTAATTTGAAAGAGGGGGTACCTACTAAAATGATTGACAGTGACAGCGTATTTCATAAATGTGTTCTTGGTAAAAGTAACACGTCAGATCTATTCCCAATACGTTGAAGTAGCCGATCCGATATAAAGCCATAAATCAATAATTTTTGCCAAACATTGTATTTTTTCCCCTGAATATTCCCCGTTGTGTACCTTAAGTTGCAACACCTTCACACTGGCATGTTATGTTGGCTTTAACTTATAGCACTTTTTTTTTACACTGACATATTGTCCTTAAGTTACAACACATTTTTTTTACACTGACATATTGTCCTTAAGTTACAACACATTTTTTTTACACTGACATATTGGCCTTAAGTTACAACACATTTTTTTTACACTGACATATTGGCCTTAAGTTACAACAGATGAGAGTTTCATTACACTTGTTGACCTAGCCATTACAATAATGTCACCTGACTTAGTATGCTGGTCACTCAACAGTTACAACACAACGAAGACCTGGATGCAAGATGGGAACACACAGAAAAATCTGGGACCAGGAAAGCACATGTTGATTGCCAGCTTAGCAGGTGAATTTGCAACCAGGATACGTAGTTTGATGTTCAAAATATCTTTTTTGTATGATCAGTTGCATTTTTTCATGTTCAAATATTTGTTGAAATGTTCAGTTGCATTTTCTGATGTTCAAATGTCTGTTGAGGGGTTTACCCGTTTGTTGGGATGTTCAAAATTAAAGTCTTCTGAGGTGGTCAAATGTCTGTTAAGATGTTCTGATGATTGTCTGTTGAGATGTACATGTGGGTGGTTAGCAGGTGCTCTGTTGTGGTGTGCTTCTTTTTCCTATCAAACATCTGTTGTTCTCATTTCTCCTCCTTTTTTTTTGTGTTTGTTACTCTCTTGTAACACACCTAATCTTCAGCACTGAAATGACATAACTAGTATAATTGCCGGTAAACCCTCACTAAAAACACAAAGATCTATATATATATGGTCTTTATGCCTGATGATTGTTGTTCATTGTCTGATGTTGTTGGTGGTTGGCGGGTGCTCTGATGTGGTTTTCTTTTTCTTTCCTATCAATCATCTCTATAGTCCTTATCTCCCCTCCTTTTTTATGTTTGTTACTCTCTTGTAACACCTCTAATCTTCTGGCGCTCATATGACCTTATGCAGTTGCAAGCGCCATTAAAAACCTCTACTAAAAGAAATTTAAAATATCTGTTGAGACGTTGAGATGTTTAGCAGGTGCTCTATTTTGTTGTTCTCCTTCTTTCCTATCAAGCATCTATTGTTCTCATTTTTCTTCCTTTTTTGTGTTTGTTACTCTCTTGTAACACCTAATCCCCAGCCCTTAATGACATAACTATTAAAATTCAGGGTGTCCAGCAAAGTCGTAAAAAAGTCGTAAACTCGGCACCCTGTCGTAAAGGTCGTAAATGGTAGTAAATTTGCCTTGAAGGTAGTAAAAATTTGGTAAACGGTCGTAAATTAGCCTGAATACTGAGTGATGAAGCCAGCAAGACTTTTCAGTGAACCCTAGCTGCGGACATGACTCCGTTTTTGCAGGTCGCGATTGTGATATAATTATTCATTCACCTTTTCCCCGTCCGAGAGTACGTTTCACGCGAAAAGCCGGCTATGGCGGCAGGTGGAAGTGTATGTGACACCGAGGCTCGATCGGGAAAATAAAGATATACTTTCGCTTTCGTTACCACCCTGAAATTTAGCGAAGATAAACTGATAACGCAACATTTGTAATATTATGCAGGTTGTACAGTATAAACGCTGTGTCGCCGTGCAAGCAAAATTTAATAATTACTCGAACTATTCACCATGCTGTCACTTGTGGGGGGGGGGGGGGTGAAAAGAAAATACAAGCTTTGTCTGATTTTTAGATTGTCGGGTTCGCCAGCGTGACAGGTCAATGAACCTTCGCGCAAGGCACTACAAGGTACAGCATCGGCGAGCACCGGCGTTTGTTGGGGTCGCCAAAGTTCATTAAAAAGTCAAGCGTTGCGAAGTATAGGACTACGGAGTAGGGCAGGGATTATTGATTTTTTTAAAGAGACACTCGGGGGAGGGGGGGAGAGTGGATGAAGGCAACACTAGAGGACAAAAACTGTAAGCAAATTTCAGAATTTTGATTAGATTTAGAGGCCTCTGCAAAGCGCGCGTTGGTGCAGGCCTTGTATGGAATCGGGATCCTTCATACCCTGTAAGCCGTGTTATTGAAATAGTGTTCGCATTTCATTTGTTGGGTGATAGTAAATTAGAACAATATTGTAGCTTTCTGTTCAAGACTGGCAGATTTTCAGTGCCACTGCCTCTTGCCCTCTCACAGTTCTTACACCTCTCACACTGAATAGGATTACTCGAGTCATTACGTGTGTGTGTGTGTGTGCACACACACGTTGTTGTTGTGTAACATGGCCCTGGAAAATGGAGAAGCCAGTTTGGCAGTCACCCTGTGTGTACACATTAGGTATAAATCTACCCCCCCTCCCCTCCCACCTCCACCACGGCAGTGCTACTGACTGAAACGTCTTTAGGCCATTCCCAAAGGGAGGATATTAACATGTTCTTATGCATAGTAGAATTGTAAATGGGCTGATTTATTAATGTCATGCTCATACTATGCTGGACCCGCGTAGGGGAAACTGCTGCCTTTTCTGTCCTCTTCTTTACTATCGTCATTTTCCTCTACTTCTTTTGTATGTTTGTCACACTTGTGAACTACTATTTCCGGGGTGCCTTGATAGTCGAAGCTTGGACTTCTCTGTTGACATCCACCCCTTGTCACTCATTTCACCTATGCAGTTGCGAGCGCAGTAAAAACCTTATTAAAACTAAATCTAGCTGCAAGCAAGCTTGCGATCGTCTGTCTATCCTCCATTTTGTCGACTGGACTTTGTTGTGTGTTGTATTCGTTCCGTATGTTATGTAATAATAATATATATGTTATTGATGACGTAAATTAACTCCCTTTTCGAGCTGGTGTGGGGCTTGATTTGCTGGGTAGTAAATTTTTTTCTAGGTAGTACATTTTTCCAGGAAATATTGCTGGACACCCTGAAAATTGCCGTAAAAAACACAGACTAAGACATATATGGTCTTTATGCCTGATGGCTGTTGTTTATAGTGTAAGGTTGTGGGTTCGACTAATAATTTCATGAATCAATTTTTAAAAAAAAATTTTTTTTTTGTCCAGGTTTAGCCACCCTGAGTCTAACCAACCCAATCTGGGTGTCCAAGACCCGCATGTGTCTGCAGTACGGCAATGGTAGCCCGGGCCGGGTCCACTTTGTCGGCATGTGGGAAACCCTGGGGAACGTCTACAAGTTTGAGGGGGTGCGCGGCCTCTACAAGGTGAGATAGCGGGTGGTTGGCGCGTGCTCTGTTGTGGTTTGATCCATCTTTCATATCGAACATTTATTGTCCTTATCTGTTCACCTTGTTTTCTTTGTATATTACTCTCTAGTAAGACATTCTAATCATGGGTGGTTGGCAGGTGCTCTGGTGTGGTTTGCTCCTTCTTTCCAATCGAACATCGACCGTCTTTATCTCCCCTTCTTCTTTTTTATGTTTGTTACTCTCTTGTAACACCTCTAATCTTCTGGCGCTCATATAACCTTATGCAGTTGCGAGCGCCGTAAAGTCTCTACTATAACTGATCTGGGAGTGGGTGTGCTTTCTCTACTAAGTGAGACTGTGGGTGCTTTTGTGTTTTGCTCCTTTTTTCTTATCGTACATCTACAGTGGAATCCTGTTATAACGAGAGGGAGGGGACTAGTGCGAAATGTCCGTTATAACAGGATTCTCGTTACAAGGGATGGTGATTTGTTCAACATGATCTCTAGGTCTAACTTGATAAAAAATCGAATCAGGTTTCTTTCTCTAGCACTAGCAATGTTGACAAATCGGCCTTGGCGATCAGAAAGAAGGGTTCTGGCTCAAGGCTTACTCGCCCGCTATGTTGTCCCCACACCCTGTGGTGCGTTGCGTCTTCTTGCGTACGTCACACAGTCACTCCATCTATCTATCACAGTATTGTGACCTCTCCATCCTGCACCAGAGAAGTGAGAGACACGGTAAGCCTAGATAATATAGCCTGGGCTGGCCTATCACGCGATGCGTTCTGCCACACCCTCCCCTCTCATTAGCTCCGGCCTTCATTGTTGGTTCACGTGGGCTCTCCTATTCTTTGTTTTGCTGGATCACCAACAACTTTCTCAACTGGCAAGGTTTTATAATATATTTAATTGGTCTGTGCACAGCAGCAGCAATATTCCGTTATTACCGACTCGTGTGACGATCTGATTGCGCAATAGCAGTATTTTGTTTACAAAGCATGGGTCTCAACATTCTGCTATTTAGCGGATTTCCGCTACCGCCATTTCCTCCGCTAAACTCTGTTACCGCGAAAGCGGGTCAATCGGAAAGAGAGTTGCTGGAAGCTGAGTGACTGCCAGGCCTTGGGTATTACCCGGGAATTTAAAAAAAAAAATCGCCGAGACGCGGGAAAATACATAAAAGATCTCAAATATTATTTGAAAACCAAATCCGATAATGTCTTTAAGTTTAATTTTGCCGGTCGCGATTGTGATGTTAATTCGGCTTTTCCCGGTCTGAGAGTATGTTTCACGCGAACAGGCGGCTATGGCTGCAGGCGGAATTGTATGTGACACCGAGGCTCGACAGGAAAATCAAGATCTCCGAAATTTGTATGTAAAAGTCTGAATACGCAACATTTGTAACATGCAGGTTCTGCATTACAAACATGGTGTTGCCATGAAAATTATGTTCGTCACTGTGCTGTCGCTTGTGGGGGGGAAAAAAAGAAAGAAAGCGTCTTGTCGGGCTCGTCATTGTGATCGGTCAATGAACCTACGCCCGTTCTGAGCGTTGTGAAGTACAGGACTCCGGAATGGGGGGAGATTATTGATTTTTTTTTTTTTAATACGCACAGGGATGGGGGGAGTGCTAGACGCAACACCAGAGGACAAAAAAAAAGAAAAGAAATTGGAAGTAAATTTTAATATTTATAATTTTGATTACTACTACAGCTCTCTGCAAAGCAAAGTGTGCGTTTGTACATGCCTTGTGTATAATCGGGATCCGTCATAACTACTTGTAATCGTGTTAATGAACTTAGGGCAGAGGCCTAAATGTTCGCGTTTCATTGGATGGGGGACAGTAAATTATGTCTCTATATTTTAGCTTTTTGTTCAAGATTCGCAGATTTTCAGTGTCACTGCATCTTGCCCTCCCACAGTTCTTACACCTCTCACACTGAATAGGTCTACTTGAGCTATTCAAGTTATTACCCTACTTTGAGTTTGAGCTTTAATTTTGTCTTTCACATTTATTATATGAATCATTACACCCAAACTGGTTCATGACAGTCGATATTCTGGTTCTAGGCCTTTTCCCAGGCTCAAAACAAGTTTCCTTTTTATATAGTTTATATAGGCGAATATGTTGAAGGTAAAATATAAGTTGCACGAGACCACAGTGCGCCTCCACTTTCTGTACGTAATCAAGATTGTAAGTATTTGGTAAGTGACTCTTACTTGAAATTATCTTCCAAACCCTCAAACTGGTATGAAATAACCTTGCTTTGATAGGTTGATGGTTTTTATTTCATCTTCAACATTTTAGGGTCCAACAGTATAATAATAGTGGGTGTCTCGCGAAAATGGGTTTCTGTCGCGATCACGCGGAAAGTTCCTCCTTTTTAAAAATTCTGAGTTGAGACCCATGACAAAGATAAAGAAGGAGAAAAAACGGGGTTTTAGAATAATGTCTTTATAACAGACTTCTCATTGTTTCAGGACTCGTTATGAGTGGACTCCACTGTATTACCTTTTCCTGTCCTTTTAATTCTACATTACTCTCTTGTAAGACTTCTAACCTTTGGCACTTATATGACCTATTTGGGTTGCAAGTGCTGTAAAACTCTTACTTTACAAACTAAGGAGAGGTACCTAACCTGTTTGCCCTTCATGCATACACACGTGCATGTACTCACACGTGCGTTTACACACAGGCAGACACATACACTCACACACACACACACACACACACACCTTCACCCTGTCCTCCACTTCCCTGCCCTCTTTTTTTACTGTCTCCCCTGGTCTCTCACCTTTCTCTCTCTCTCTATCACCCTTCTCTCTCTTTTCTCAGGGCTTCCTCCCTGGGATCTTCGGCATCTCGCATGGAGCTCTGCAGTTCATGGCCTATGAAGAGTTGAAGACGCTGTATAACCGACACCGGAACCAGCCGCTAGATACCAGACTGGTCAGTTTGATATTTTCTGTGTGTTCACGTTGACATATCTGCTTAGTGGAAGGCTTACATGGCATTAGACAGAAGGATGAGAGCCCAACATAGCTTTTTTATGAGCATCCGAGCTAAGGAATGAATGGAGAACCATGATCGCTGATGTTTGTCGCAGATCTGGCACTGGATGATGATGATGACTCACTTGTAACACGTCTAATCTTCGGCGCTTCTATGACCTAATTGTGTTGCAAGTGCCATATAACACTTACTTAACTAGAACAGTTTTGCGAGAAAGTTGTCTGTCGAGTATCGGCTCATGTATGAGTACCTCACAGCATAGACATCAAGCCCCCTCCCCCACCCTTCTAGATTTTCATATTTGGTGGTTGCCTGCAGAACCAGTTGAGTAGATAGCATATTTCGAGAATCTACAAAATCTGTGGGATGCAGTATCAAACCATATCCAATAATTCCCTGTTGGCCAGTGCTATCGAGTGATTGAAAACTTTATCTTTGCGCAAAGAATGCTTTTTCATGGGATGAATGCATGCTGGTTCTTGCTTCAAATGTTAATTCTATTCAGTGCACATTAATTTTGATGTATCAAACCATGTATGACACAATCCTGTAGACCAGTGTCATTGAGTGATTGAAAACTTTATGTTTTTGCCTGCGCAAAAGAATGCTTTTTCACTTGACAAAGGGCATACTGAATACACAATTTAAAAGCTAACTGCTATAAATTGCAAGGTGTTTTGTGCTTCAAATGAAATTTTGATCCAATGCGCATAAATTTTCTATTAGTGTGCAAATTTTTGTGACAGTATTTTCATGGGCTTCCGTTTTATTTTTATTATGATTCTTTGGAAGTATGTTATTTTTGGAACACCTGATGACCTGATGTTTTAAACTTTTTGTGTTTCTCTACAAATTTGCTTTACCCAAATTTCGTCACTCCTCTTTGAGTCATGTGGGAGTAATGATGTCTTAAAATGTTTTGGAGATAACTTGTCTCAAGAATAATATGTGTGATACTGCAGACCTGCCACTCATCCCGATTTAATCGGGATATCCCGATTTTTTGCCCCAAATCTCAAGCATCCCGATTTTCCCGATTTTGATCGCCAGTATCCTGATTTTTTTGTGGTTGCGTCTGTTGCGTCCGATTCTTAGAAAAAAATATAAAAAGTTCTGCAATCTCTTTTGCTTGGAAACACCGATTGGACTTTTTATCTGCAGGAACTTGGAACGCTATTTTCTAAAGCATCTATGCCGAATTTAGATCTAGAAGATGACTAACGCACGTTATTTAAACTAAAATCGACCTAGTTTCAAACGCTCATTCGCATCACATAACATGACCTCGTACGTGTGCTGAGTAGCGCGTGTGTCGGGGACCGTCGGTTGTCGGGGTCAACAAAGTTCATTCACACCGGTCGCGTTGGTCGAGGTGTTTTTCGGGACTTAACCAGTGTGGACTGGGGGGGGGGTATTGTTTTGACACTTGGGCTTAAAGTGCGCGCCGTGATACAGGCACTAATTAAGGGGAAAGGAATAAGAAAAAAATGAACAACCTTGGCGCGATCTTTTTTTCGATGTGATGGAAGTCAAACGTTAAAACGCGGGCGTTTTGCGTGGATGATTCGAGTTACGTGTCGGCTATTTTCAAGACTACGAGTGTTTCAGCATCACTGCGACCTTCGCTCCACCAGTCTATCCAACTTCGACTCGAGTACATATCTTTCAGCTTTCCCTCTATTTAGAGGCCCAACGTGAACTGTTTCCTGCAAAAGTTTTGCCTTGCATACTTGCCTCTTAAAAGGGAACCAGGACACCCCCCCCCCCGCTTTCCCCAGTGGCCGTTATGACTGATTTGCCGTTGATCCCGATTTTTTTCACCAGATCCTGATTTTTTAACTCACAAATCCTGATTTTTAGATTTCATAGAGTGGCAGGTCTGGATACTGTGAAAACGGAAAAAGTCCTTGCTTCTTCAAATTTGAGATGGACATGTGAATGCTACGAGCCACAAGTTTTATTTAAAAAACATGTAGATTTGTAATGTTTGTTTTGGTATGGTTTTAACGGTGCTTGCAACTGCTTAAGGTCATATGAGCAGAGCTGTTAAAGTACTTTTAAAAAGGTACTTAAGTACAAATTTAAGTACAATCTAAAATATGTACTTAAGTACAGTAAAAGTACTTTCCTGTAAAATGTGCTTGAGTACAAGTACTTTTAAAAAAAGTACTTATTTTAAGTACTTTCTGCTAATATGCTAAAACACTTCAGCGCTAATGCAAAACATCATATTGAATAACATATCTAGTATATTTGACAAATTAGGCCATTTATTACTGATAATGTAAACAGTATACAAAGTATTTGAATATACGCACTGAACGTAGGTGGAAATGGTCCATGAAATTGAAAAAAAACCCAGCAAACAGACGCAACTAGTAAGTGATATTATGAATAGAACTTTTTTGAGCAAGACAATAATATGATCAAATGTAAGTCAGTCCTAGAGGTCGGAAAGTAGGAAAAGTATCCAAATTGGAAAATGTAGCGACAAAGGTGCTCTTAAGAAAATATACAAAATTGATGAAAATGGCCAGCAAAAAAAAAAATGGAAACGTGCATTGAATTTTTTATTAACAAATCCTCAAGGAATCAAGGTAGCCTTAAGACCTTGATGGCCACTCACAGTAGCATGGTGGCATGAGGCATGCCATAATATTATACCGTACACTCTTTAGCATATCGTCTTTAGATCTTTATCTACATTTATCCAGTTGCCCCTCCCCTTTACCTGTCCAAAAATTGTAGCCTTCCATCTCTGATTGAGTCTTTGTCGTTACGTATCATTACGCTGTGACCACACCAATTAAAATTCAGGCTGTCTCGCAAATTCGGGAATAGAGAAAAACTGCCACTTTAACTTCAATGGTCAGGGAAGAGTTCACAGTTCGATGTGATCCTGCCTGGAGCGAACTTGTAGGCCCTACCCACCCAGCGAGTGATGTAAGTTCAGGTGACGAGCTCAGACGCGAGTGCGATGTTTGGGGGGAAAAAAACGCATCTGTCAGTTCACACCTCGGTGTGATCCCGTCTGGGGATCATTGTACCGTTTCATGGAGTTTTACAACGCTTGTGATCACATTAACGAGAGTGGCTGATCTTTGACGCGACGGGCAGTTGTTTTTTTAAGGGCTGTACCCCGGTAGCAAACACGCTCGTGCTCACAAGACCCTAGTTCAAGTCACAAGCCTCAAATCACTAGGTCAAATCATCAAATCAAATCACCAGCATGATACGTTTAGTCTAGCCTAAGCTTCAAGTACCCACACCAAATTGCAATCCGCAAAGCCACTCATGTCTGACCCCCTCTTCCTTACCCTCCCTGCTTGCAATCCGCGAAACCCCTAACGCCAGAAAGAGAGAGGGGGGGAGAGAGAGAGACCCCGCCCACAGTGTCACTGCGCCACAAACTAGTCTGTTCGATTATTCGAAGGCATACGAGTAGCGGACGGCAGGCAAGACTCAAATCGCAGCAGAGCAAAGCACTTGGTCCCAAGACCTGCTTTGCGTCCCGTATTGCTTTGTGCTAAGGGCTTGCTCTCGTGCCAATAAATCTGCTTTGAGTCCAACTACCGCCCTGGCAGTACAACACCGCTCGTCAGGCAAACACCGCTGGTTTGCACCGAGGCGCAAGATCTACCAGTAATCCACCCCGCTCGCGGCGTGAACTCTGAACTCTGGACGTGGAGGAAGCGAGAGGCTGCGCTGGTTTTGGTGCAAGGCGAAGAGGGCTGTAATAGCCTAGTGCAGACCGTTCGCGACCTCGGTGCTTTAACAGTGAAAATGTGATATCTTCGTAGGCTCACATTTTGTTATGAGCTGTTTTCACTGGTATTAAAAATGGAGATACGACAAAAAAGCACTAGGGTCGCGGTATGCTAAACTATTTAGGACGCAAGATAAAGGTGTGAACACTTACAAACAATTTTTAACTGACAAAATAAATCAGTATTGTTAGCATCCCGTGGCTTGTAATTTAATCACTCGCCTAAACTACACTTCCACTCCCACCCCGACACTTAGAACAAGTTGAAGTTGAAGAGAAAGCATTGGGGAGGGGATGACAATCGTCATTTTGTTTCTGAACAATGTAAAAAACTTTTGATTTGACTGCTTCCCTATCAGAAGATCATTGTTAAGGTAAATTATATCACATTGTTAATTACATTGTGGGCCTATAACTTTTAAAAAACATCTTGCTGCACTGTAACTGATATTATGTATGTATTGTGCATGTTGTATCATACAAATATTAATTATGATGTCGAATTACGCCAAGAAAATCAATATAGCGAAACATAATCCTTCCCCCCCCCACCAAAATTTTTTTTTTTTAATCAACAAAAAACTGAACCAACCCCCCCCCCCCCCCCCCCAAAAAAAAAAACAAGACAAAACCCTGTCTAACCAGGAGGCGTAAGGGGAGGGGCGGGTTCTACGGAAAGCGTGGGGTGGCGAACACCTCTCGCTTTCCCAGCCATACCACCCCCTCCCCTCCCCAAACAGCGCCATCGCTGGAAGTGTGAGGGTTTTTTAGGGCTTGTCAGCGTGCGGCACGCGGGCAGAAGTATCACGCGCTCAGTAAACAAGTTAGTGACGTCACGACACAAATCAGTAAGCCCGTCCGCCGTCCACGAGTAGCAACTCCGGTAGCGGGCAAAGCTCAAGCCTGCTCGCAAGCCTCTGGCATGAGCCGTCCATTGCTCGCAAGCCTTCGATTAATTGAGCAGACTCCAGCCCTAGTTTTTTTATCCCAACTTTTAACTCTTGGTTGATCGACTGTGCCCGCCCGGGTGTTTGTTCCGTAAATTATGATCAGAAATGCCAGCACTTACTCTTTCATTAAATGAACTTTAAAAATACTCAAAAGTACTTTAATAAAAAGTATCGGAGTACAGTAAAAGTACTGGTTCTCAAAATGTACCGGAGTTCAGTAAAAGTACCGAAAATTGTAACGTAAGTACAAGTACCGGAGTACTTGTACTCGGTTACAACCAGCTCTGCATATGAGCGACAAGGGGTGGATGTCATCAGAGAAGTCCAAAGGGGGAATCAGGCTTACTCTACTCACCTCTCTAGCCTCAACAGCTCAGTCTTCTTCGACTATCAAGGCACCCCGAAGTAGCTGTTCACAAGAGTAGAAAGTCGCAAACATACAAAAGAAGTAGAGTAAAATGACATAAGTAAGGATGAGGAAAGAAAAAACAGCAGTTCCCCCTTTGTTCCGGCTCAGTATGAGCATGACATTGATAAATCAGCCCATTTACAATTCTGCTGTGCATTAAAACATATCCTAAAGACAACTTCAGTCAGTAGCACCAGAGCTGTTAAAGTACTTTTTAAAAAGTACTTAAGTACAAATTTAAGTACAATCTAAAAATTGTACTTAAGTACAGTAAAAGTACTTTCCTATAAAATGTACTTGAGTACAAGTACTTTTTAAAAAAGTACTTATGAGTACATTTTAAGTACTTTCTGCTAATATGCTAAAACACTTCAGCGCTTATGCAAAACATCATATTTTATAACTTATCCAGTATATTTGACAAATAAGGCTATTTATTACTAAAAATGTAAACAGTATACAAAGCATTTGAATATACAATGTACGCACTGAACGGTGGAAATGGTCCGTGAAGTTGAACAAAAAACAACCCAAATGAACAGACGCAACTAGTGGATAAGTGATATTATGAATAGAACTTGTTTGAGCAAGACAATGTGATCAAATGTAAGTCAGTCCTAGAGGTCGGAAAGTTCTACAGAAAGAGTATCCAAATTGAAAAATGTAGATACAAAGTTGCTCTTAAGAAAACATAAAATTGATGAAAATGGCCCGCATAGAAATGGAAAAGTGCATTGAATTCTTCATTAACAAATCCTCAAGGAATCAATGTAGCCTTAAGCAAAAACCACCCAAAAAAAGTTTAAAAGAAATTTAGGCAGCCTAAACATTGTTAGATACACATTGAAAACAGTTTCAGTTTCAATTGATTATAGTGGTCTGACAGATTTTGGTCACACTGTGTAGTCCACGGCGCCAACGGCAAACCAAAATACAATAGTTTCCTAGAGTCTAGTAAGTGTAGTGTAACCAAAGATTCTCTACTGCAGTAGTCTCCGCCTAAGATCCCAGTGCTCGGAAGCAAGGAAAATATGGGATCTTAGCCAACGAAGCGAAAGAAGAATCTACAGTGACCCATGAACTGACGTGACCCCTGGGTGGATTTATGACATATGGCAAGCAAAGAGTGGTCAACCTTGATTACCAATCACAGTGGCATGAGGCATGCCATAAATAATATTATATATACACACTCGTTAGCCAATCGTGAGTCTTGAGATCTATATCTACGTTTATCCAGTTGCCCCTCCCCTTTACCTGTCCAACAATTTTAGCTTTCCATCTCTGATTGAGTTCCCCCCCCCCCCCCCCCCAACCTCGTTTGTCATTACGCACCATTAAGATGTGACCACACTAATTAAAATTCAGGTTGTCTCGCAAATTCGGGGAAAACTGCTTTCAATGGTTAGGGAAGAGTTCACAGTTTGATGTGATCCTGCCTGGAGCGAACTTGTAGGCCCTACCCACCCAGTGAGTGATGTAAGTTTAGGTGGTGAGGTCAGATGCGAGTGCGATGTTTGGGGAAGAGAAATGCATCGGTCAGTTCACACCTTGGTGTGATCCCGTCTGGAGCAAACACTGTACCGTTTCAAGGAGTTTTACAACGCTTGTGATCACATTCACAATAGTGGCTGATCTTTGAGGCGAGGGGCCGTTCTTTGATCTCAACTTTTAACTCTTGGCGGTTGATCGGGTTTTTGCTCCGTAAATTATGATCAGAAATGCCTGCACTTACCCTTTCATTAAGCTACCAAAGTACTCAAAATGTACTTAAAAAGTACTCAAAAGTACTTTTATAAAAAGTATCGGAGTACAGTAAAAGTACTGGTTTAAAAAATGTACCGGAGTACAGTAAAAGTACCGAAAATTGTAACGTAAGTACAAGTACCCCGGTACTTGTACTCCGTTACTACCAGCTCTGAGTAGCACTGCCCTGGGGAGGATTATGTAAATTTATCTTTGCTTTCCCTCTGTTGTTTTTGTCTGTCTGTCTTACTTTTTCACAGGATTAAATTACTTTTATTGTGTTGATGTGCTTCTCTTTACATAAAGAGGCATAAACAACTTTCCCAGACATGGGTGCATGGTCTGCTGAATCCATGCTGCAGTATGTGTTGTTGAAGAATGGGAACCTTTACAAAGCTTCAGAAATCGTTGATGGGTTCAAGCTATAGTTATACATGGAAGGGTGTGAGGGGTTTGTTATAGAAATATGTATGCAGTTATGGAAAAGGAAAACTTATACAAAAATTTATTATTGCCTTTGAAGACTACAGGGAAAAAACAGACTACAGTCATAAACTGAATATCGCCAGGGTACCAATTTTGAACGCTTGTTGACTCATAACTGTACTGTATTCTATTCAACTGTTGGTTGATTAGTGTTGTTAGATTTCCAATTCAAGAACACTTAACAATAAATCACAAGTCAAACAAATATGAAGTTATGAGTCCACCAGCTTTTAAAATTGGCACCCTCACAATTTCTAGTTTGTGGCTACTGTCGTTTTTCCCCTATTTATTATAAAAAAATAAATTTAAAAAATAATAAACGATTGAAAATATACACGTAATAACAAACTCAGCCTTCATTTCTCTGGTACTCAACAGCTTGCCGTTAGTTTTCCTATGTTCCTCAAATAACCATAATGAATTAAGTACATGTATCATAATAATGATTTAATTGTCATACACCTACTTTAGTGGGTTGTTGTGAGTGATCTAATGTGGTTTGCTCCTTCTTTCCTATCAAACATCGATTCTTGAGTGGGAACGATTTTTATTGAGTGTTTCAGTCTTTCTGTTAGGATGTCTGTGTGTCCCTCTCAGCTTGGGTCGGGCCAGACAGGCAGAGTCATTTGGGGTGTAAAGGGGCGTAAAAGCACTGACATGTTAAAAAATGAATAAAAAATCAACTGCATGATTTACTTAACCCTGAAGTACTGAGATAAGAAGTATGAACTGCCTTTGTACGATTGATATAGTTCTTTGAATCAGTAGGCAGAGTGCTTGGATACGAGTTCATTAAGATATAGGGCTCTACAGAATGAAGACGTAAATTGTCTTGTGATGAGGAAGAAGGGCATGTTCTGACCAAAAAGGTTGTTATGATATTGAAGAGGACATGTCTGTGTATTCATAGACTTGACAAGTACAGATGAAATTAGGGAGGCCTATGGATGAGCCCCAAATAGATATGCATAAAATCTGTTTCCATCGGTCAAACGCAGCTTAGTGTAAATGATGTGAATGCACGTCACATGTTTGTTTGCAATGTTTCCAAGATTTATTGTAAATGAGTTGAGACAAGAAAACACACATTTTTATTTGTATTGATTCGAATGTATTTGCAATGAAAATGTTTATTTGCCATGATGGGTTAGTTGAGCAATCCGTCTGTTATTGATTTATTTACTTTGCTTTTCTTACAGAGTTCACTGGAATACCTCTCGTTTGCAGCCGTGTCCAAAATGTTTGCTGCAGCTTTGACTTATCCGTACCAGGTGGTGAGGTCAAGGTTACAGGATCAGCACCGGTCGTACAACGGCGCGCTTGACGTGATCCGGCAGATTTGGCAGTGAGTAGTGAAAGTGTTGGATACAAATAATTTGTGGTTGGAGGTATTGTTAAACTTGTGTGTTCACTGTAGAGCAGATATATTGCTTTTGGAGTGTGTGGTCACTGTAGAAATGTTATAGTAGTGCAGTATGGTCAAGTAAGTAGTATGTAGTGTTTGCTTCTTCCCTATTAGATTTGAGAAGAAAAAGCAACTTTTCTTTCTTCAGAAGTCTGTTATTTTTAGTCTTGTGTACTAATGAACAGTAGGGTTTATTAAAAACAGTTCGTGACATTTGACATATTATAGTTTAATGGTAAGAAAGGTTGACAATGGTTATTCAGTTACAGTCGCAACTGCCTAAGATGGCCATCCATTATCAAGGAGAAAAGTGTCTGTCTTACACAGGTGGCTGATGTACACTGTGTCTTTATAATGTAAAAAAAAAAATGCTTGGTAGGCACTAGAAAGTAGCAATTTGTTCAGGTGATTGTCTTATATTGGTGGCTGTTAGAGTAGGTCTCACAGTATGTTTTATGTTTATGATCAGGTAGACAGAGGGTACATTTCTCTGTATAAGTCATTTCAAAGAGGCACCTTGCTCAGTTCTGTTCAAGAGTTGGCTTGTTCATTATTTTACCAGTTGTTTCATTACTTGAGTTTAGATCATTCTTATTCTTTCCCAAAATTCTGCTTTTTCAAGGATAATTCTGAAAGAAATTCCCTTGATTTTGGTCTTCATGCTTTGAAAGCTATGGCAATCCTTTAATTCTTCTGAAACATTTCAGTGGTGGTTATAAAATAAACCATTCCGGGAACAAAATACAAATGTTGTTTTACTGAAACTGAGCAGTGTGAATTTGAGGTATAATGCAGTGCGCTTGACATCTATCATTTGTGCCACGACGTGGTGGAATCGGACACTCGGCAATTTTTGGACATTTGGGGTTATTTTTGTCGTATTAAAGCTGGCGCATTTGCCTTTCTTTCAGTGAAAAAATACCCATCGATCTTGAATAGAAGTCAAGATGTTTGCGACTGGGGCAGGTGGGGGTCGTCTGTTTTCAGTCCAGTCCCCAGCAAGAAAATGGCCACTAAAGTTTGGTGACTTCCATAGCTTGAGAGTCCTTGGAAATTACAATTTTGCATTTTTTTAAACCTTCAATCAGTGTTTTTCAGTAAAATCCCTACCGAAATGTGTTTTTGAAAGGACAGAAAAGGTGTTTAGTTTTTGTTTTTAAAATTTGGTACAAGTTGCCAAACCTGCAGAAAAAATACTGGTTCCTTCAATTTCACTATTTTGATGAGTGCCTGATTTCTCCATGATGCCTCACATTATATAAGTTTCAGTTGTGGCTCTACTCTCTGTTTTGTTTGTGACTGAGGAAGAGCACCAAGCAGTGCCTAGGCCTGTATGTAGCTCACAAAGACACAGTGTAAACACAGGAGCCTCCTTTCAGTTTCAAGACAATAGTCTTTGCCAGTGCGCAGAAATTTTTTTTTGTCACACAATTATTGTTTTTAAAAAATACAGAACTCCAAATGAAATTGTCTATTTCAGCCACTTATTGTGATAATTGTCAAGGAGAAATGCATCTGTCTTAAACAGGTGACTGTCACTATAATGTAAAAGATATTCAAAGGGAGACATGGGATGTGGCCGTTTGTACAGGTGGTTGTCTTATACAGGTGGTCGCTAGAGCAGGTTTGACTGTATTTGATCCTGCTGAACTTTGGAGTTACCACTTATATTTGTGTTAACAACTATTTTAAATTTCTGTTAGATTTTGAGAAAGAAGTTCTAACTTGTAAAATAAAAATAGGTACAAATTCTGAAGCAAAGGATTGTGCTATAGGTAACTACTGTAATGCAAAATGACGCTTACTGTAATACTACAACAAAATCATGCTTAGTTGGAAGCCTGAGGCTTGGTAATACTATTTGTTGAGCCTTAATTAAGCTAAATTTTGCTCACCGTAAATCCTAGACCAAAATAGCTTACTGTAGAGCTTGCATCAAGATAATGCGGTCTGCCTAACCTGGAGGGAGATTGATTATAGTAAATGCGAAGCGAAAAGCAATATAGTGCTATCATTGAGGTCTGAAACAAGATTCTACAAAGACTGGAACAAGAGAGTACTGACTTTCTGTTGGAAATGGAACACTTCCTGGCATTTAATGTGGTTTTAAGTGATAAGACCAGGCGTACTATAGTTTTCCAGTCTGCAATTTAAGCCTTTTGTTTTGTCCGCTACAACCTTTTTATTTAAGCCTGACACAAGACAGTGCAAAGAGTGAAGCATGAATATGCCAACTTTTGATTTTGTTGAAAGTGAAAAACTATTTCTTAATTTTTTAATTGAACCTGGCGTTTAATGTGGTTTTTTGAGATAAAGACCAGGTGCACACTGGTTTCCCAGTCTGCAATTTAGCCATTTTGTTTTGTCCGCCACGACCCTTTTTGCTGGTCGCCACAAGCTCCCGTCTTCCGCAGGAAGGAGTCGTATCGCGGGATGTTCAAAGGTCTGAATGCGTACATGCTGCACATCGTGCCCAATATCATGATTGTGTTCGGCATCTACGAGGCGGTGCTGAGTCTCCACGCCGAGCTGGAGCAGGACATGGCCACGGTGGAGGAGAGCTAGCGCCTACCGCACAGCCATTGTGGTATGGAGGGGGGCGGGGTGGAGGTGAGTACTGCTCCTAATTTTTCGGGTGGTTTTTTTTTTTTTTTTTTAACTTTTTGTGCTGTGTCCTGGTTTGGTGTCCATACTTGGTCGCTTTTAACACTTTGCCACCTCATTTCGCTGATTAGCCATGTTTACCACCCAGTTTCTTTGGATTTTCCCCAAAATATGATGGCAAAGTGTGAAGCACAAGGGGGCTCTATCCCCCAAAAATGCTGTATTGAGGAAATTGAACTTAAAAGTTTTTGGATCCTTATTCAGTCTCTGTAAAAGACAAGGAGAGTTTTCTCTAAAGAGAGAGCAAACATAGGCACCAATAAAACTAAACTTCTCCTATAGGTAGGGCAATGCCCACTTTTGGTGTAGGTCAAGATTTCTGGGAACCCCCGAAATCTGGGTTAGCCCGCTTGTCCTTAAAAGCGACCATTTGTAAGTTACGTAAAAACATATGGTAGAAATTGTTATGCTTCACAAACAACAAAAAAACAACCCCAAGATGATGATGATGAGTTTACTCTTGTTCTTTGTGGGCATATGTGTTCTTAGTCTTTGGGGAGGGGGGTTGGGGTTCTTTGTCCCTTGTCCTGATTTGGTGTTGATGTCTGTAAGTTACATAAAAATGTGCCAATATGGTGCGAATTGTTATTCTTTAAGAAATACAAAACAAGAGAAAGAAAAATTGTTTAGTCTTGTGATGTCATGTTCTTTGTTGGTGTGTGTTTTAAAGTGGCGTCGGTGGCCTAGTGGTTATGCTCTCGGACCCGCAACCGTAAGGTCGCGGGTTCGAATCCCGTCAGGGGCCCGACGTTGTGTCCTTAGGAAAGGCGCTTTACACGAATTTTCCTCACTTCACCCAGGTGAGAATGGGTACCCGGCTATAGACAGCGAAAGATATTGTCAGTTTGTTAGTGTTTGAACACTTAATCAGCTGCTTGCACTGTATGCTTCCCGGGAAGCTGAGAATGTTTCGGAGTGTTCTATGGTCTGCTGGGGTAATAACATAGTGTAAAGCACATAGAGCCTGCTGTTGAGCGGGGATATGCGCTATACAAATGCTATTTATTATTTATTATTATTATTATTATTATTAAGTTTTTTAACACCCCCTTCTACGCTGTTCAGGCCAGGAGTCTCAAACTCTTTCTTGTAGCACCTTTAATCTTTGGCACTTATATGACCTTATTTTGTTGCATATGTCGTAATCATAAAACTCTTTACTGAAACAAAAAAGTTTTACACCTCCATTAAGGCAATTTAGATCTCGGGTCTAAAACTCAAATTATTACGGGGGGGGGGGGGGGGGGGGGGGGGCTGGATATAGAGGTAAGGTGAGGTCAGTCTGGGCCACCTCAAGTGTTACACAAAAAAGTGTAATGAATACTTTTTTTAATACAAGGATCTTCTCAGTCATTATATAGGCAGTTCAGAATGGGATCTTTGCACTGGATGCCATGTGTCTCTAGGTTTATTTGTACTATACATTGGTCCAGGCATTTTGTGCAAGCTCTAAGGATGTCCTGTGGTTTCGGACAGATTACTGATTAATGTATATGGATTTGTGGGGGTGGTTAGAGGGTGTGCACTGTATATTTTTCTCTCTTTTGCAATGTATCTGTGATGTTGTCTTTGGGTTTGTTATTGTCCCTGCATGATGGTTCCATTGCTAGTTTTGTTATAAGTTGTGATTACCCCCCCCCCAGCCCTTTAATAGATATTGACTGTTCAATGTAAGGCTCCTTCATACATCACTTTTCAAAATGGTGTTGGGCAGAAGCTTACTCTAAGCTGTCAGTATATTCTGTACTTGTTTCACGATTAGTTGTGTCAATGTATTGGTCTGTAATTTGTACAACAGTTGAGATCATTATGCTAATGTACAGTTCCATGGCTTGGTAGGGTATCAATATGTTGATGTTCTTGTCTGTTGTTTAAACGTCTATCATCCTTATCTCCCCTACTTCTTTTTTATTTTTTATGTTTGTTACTCTCTTGTAACACCTCTAATCTTCTGGCGCTTATATGACCTTATGCAGTTGCGAGCGCCGTAAAGCCTCTGCTAAAACTTTAAAAAACCCTAAAACTTGAAATTTCTTGTTTTTACGTTTTAGAAATTAAAAATACCACTTTAGTCGTATGGTAAGATCTGAAAGCGCAGTTTAACCTTCCAATAGAAAAATGAAAGTTCAAGATTCCTTTGCACTGCACCAGGCAGAAAAGTTTCAATGGGGATTTTCTCATGGTTAGATTGACATACGTTACCACAAGGAACAAAGATACCCACTGCTCAGTGTACGTCACTTTTCAACATGGCATTATGCGGAGCCTTACATTGA